TTGTGTATCTCACAATTTTGTAAATGATCATTGTTTATTAAACTCTGAAAGCTGTGAGGCTTTGTTAATATTCTGTCCAAGAATGCGGTGAGATGTGCCCTTTTTTTTTGAGCACCTGCCCCTTTAGTGGTCCCTGCACGGCCCTGGACGGCATAATTGTTTGACAATTATGCTCAAGCTACTTACTGATCTGTCAGGTTTCCAATATGCGTCCCCCCCAATGACAGACTCGTTCCTACGCCCTTGCTAGTAGCCAAATACCATAAAGAGCATCTGACAAGCCCACAGGATGGTAAACGACGCGACGAGCAATTCATCCAAAAATGCACACTGTGGTTCCTTATTGTGCTGCTGGAACAAAAGTTTCTGTATAACACAAATTGAAGATTGACTGTAGAACTAGAGAATGATGCTGAAGTTGGTGTAAACATCAAAGTTGTAGTACTAAGACTAGATAAAGAGCGGTGTGTGATCAGTTATTAAGCTGGGACAAATGTTAAAATATACTTTATTATCTGTTTGAGTGATATTGGTGTATTACTCAGAAGTACACTTTTAGAAATGTTCAGTCCACTTAACACATATAACAGTCACTGCTTTATAATAAGCAGTGACTGCCTAGATATTGTCCAAGTTTTTATTTTTTGCAGTTTAAAACATTATATAGCTCATAATGCCCTGTTCAATCACAATACACATTAAACTTCTGGTTCTGTTGTTTTACTATAAGAAAACAGGAATGTACCGTAATAATGGGAATTCACTTTCCTATTTTCTTTGTAGGTGGAGCTCTGGGTAAAGTTAGCAGGCTGTAAAATCGACCATAGATGATTTTGTTGTTTTGCATAAAGATGCCCAAATGAGACACAAATTTCCTGGGAAATAAACTAAAAAACTAAACTAAAAAAGAATGGCAGGAATTAGGAACTTTGCTTCATTCCCATAATTTAAGGACTCCACATTTTCTAGCGATGTCTTAGACATTTTCTTCTATGCCGTTTGAACTTTGTTGAAAAACTTATGCTGAAAAAAAAATAATAATAAATCACATTTCCCTTGAGCACATATAAACCAAAACAGGTGTCAAGTTTGGGATGCCTTCAAGCAATTTGTCAGCATTTAAATTTCAGAACTGTGAATCAACAAGTTGTTCATAGATAAAAAAATAAAAATAAAAAAAAGTATTTCAGAATCTGTCTGGTCATGCAGAATCAGAAAATCAGGACACTTTCCTGTCTCAACTTTATGAAGGCCCACTACTATGCTATTTGTTCTACGTATCTCCCCAGAAGTTGTTTATGATCAACATGATCTCAGACTGATTACTCTTGCAATGCCTCCACCAGCCCAAGCAGGAGATGGTTATTGCAGTTCGAACACTGAAACCTCTCTACTCATCGCCACGTGTTCAATTCAAAAACCTCTCTGATCCGTTCCTCTTGTGTTGCTATCTTTTTAGCTAGATGGCTGGTAAGGAGGAAGATCTGCAGGACAATCAGTGCGGAGTCAATCTGGACCGTGAGCAGTTCTGCTGCTCGGTTTGTCTGGATCTGCTGAAGGAGCCCGTCACCATCCCCTGCGGACACAGTTACTGCCGAAGCTGCATCGAGAGCTGCTGGGACAGGCAGGGTGAGAGGGAGGAATACGGCTGCCCCCAGTGCAGGGAGACCTTCCATCCCAGGCCTGTCCTAAAGAGAAACAACATGCTGGCTGAGGTGAGGGGGGCCTATCCAAAGTCCTCTCCTGGGCCATTTGAAGCCTCTGGGTTGATTTTGATTCCTGACTACAATTCATGAAAAATACTAATTTGGCATGACACCACAGGTGAACTATAACATTTATAACAGAAATTTTCCAATTGTCTAAGGAAAATTTTAAGTACAACACAAAGTATTCATCTTCTAGCAACCAAGCTTTTTGAATTATCTTCACTTTAATAGCAAATAGAAGCACATCTTTCCAGTGACTCTTATTCAAAGATAGACTTTGGTGTGCTAAAATAGGCTTTTAACTAATTTTTTAAAATTGGTGTAAATACAGTAAGTTTTTTCAGTTACCCAAATTGTGTTTTTGTTGCTGAAAATTTAATTTTTCCATGTTCTCAATCTGATCCAAACTGGATTTCTCTCTTTTAATCAGGAAGATTTGGAAAACACAGTTTTTCTAGTTTGGGATCTACGACATACTTTTAACTTTAACAACCAGTTTGGACTCCACTGCTCTGAATAGATCTTACAAAGGTCTCTTTGGGGTACCTTAAGAATCAAATTTTCTCACTAGTCCAAACTGACTTCACAACCTGCTTCTCTAGGTTGTGAAGAACCTGAAGATGATGAGATATCCCCAACCACCGCCTCCGTCTCTGACCCTGCCCGCCCCGCCTGACGTCGCCTGCGACTTTTGCAGTCTCGGACGAAACAAAGCCACCAAGTCTTGCTTGACGTGCTTGGCGTCTTACTGCGACAAACATGTAGAGCCTCACTACACTGTCCCCGTGTTGCAGAAGCATGAACTGATCTCAGCTACGATGCCAGTAGGGGACAAGGTGTGCACCGAGCATCGGAAGTTGATGGATCTCTGCTGCCAGACGGACGAACAGCTCATCTGCACCGAGTGCACAGTGGACAAACATAAAGGTCACACGTTTGTGTCTATTTTGGAGTTAAAGGAGACAACAAAGGTAAAAACAAATGATGTGATTAAAGAGTCACAGTCCAATTAAAAAGGTACTCAATGGGAGCCTTCTGGTTTCTTCCAGGAACGGCTGGAGAAAGTTCGAAAGCAAGTGCAAGAGAAAGTCCAGCAAAGAGAAGAAGAGCTGGAGACGATCATACAGGCAGAGAAGAATGTTAAGGTATAACCTAATAAAAAAAGTAAAAAAATTAAAATAGACTTTCTGTTTTTGTTTCCAGAGGTGTAATCAGTAAAACTGAATGTACTGTTAAAGAACTGGAACAAAAGACTGATCTTTATTGTGAAATGTAAGGATCAAAGACCTAAGCAGGAACAGCACGTATCTCCCGGACGTGACTCACTGGTGTATTGCTGAAAACTTTCAGCTGGAACATAACTAAGTAATTAGTTTGTCTGATATGGTGCCAGACCTCCATCTGAGTCTGACGGGTAACAATGTCTTCCTTCCACCACTTGATGGCAGCAGAGAGAAATCATGCATGGTTGGAGTTACATTTTGGGAGCTGAAAAACTCTCAAAATTCTTCTGAAGTGTAACAATTTATAGACTCTGATGTAATCACTAAGAGTCCATCCAACCTGCTAGCCAATTTGAGTTTTAAAGAATTGCAACTTTAACTCATTTATTAAAGCAAACCTAAACCATAACATTGGGGGCATGAAATATTTTCTGGCAAAAGAGAAAAACCATCCATGCCTGTTTTTTATCTTTTAAGTGTCATTTTAATTTGAACAAAAAAGAACCACAGGTTTGACTGAATCCCCCTGAAGGGAATCCAGTTTAGCTCCTATAAGTGTAACCACGCTTTAATAAGAGCTGCGTTTGTTCCCACAGAGCAGTGCCCAAACCTCAAAGGCAGACTGTGCCAAGGCGTTCTCCGAGCTGATCTCGTCCGTGCAGAACAGACGCAGTAAGCTGGAGCAGCTGATCGAAGCCCAGGAGAAGAGCGCCCTGGCTCAGGCCGGGGAGCTGAAGCAGCGCCTGGAGAAGGAGCTCGGTGAGCTGAGAGGGAGGGACGCTCAACTGCTGCGGCTTTCAAGCAGCGATGACGTTGTCTACCTGGCGCAGGTATAGACAGCGTTCGGACTTGTGTGCACTTGCTGAGGTTCTTTTTTCCTTCTGACTTGAATAAAGCTGAGTTACCATCAAACTCCCAGCATCGCGCTGTGCTCCGTTGACCTGTTTAGCATGTCAAAACATTTTAAAGAATTTAGGCTTCCTTTATGATTCCCTGTTTTTTTTTTTTTTTTTTTTTTGTTACTTTCCAATGCCACTTTAGCATTTTAATATTTTCTAATACCACCAAACCATGTTTTGCAAATTAAAGGGTGACAAATCAGAAAAGAAGGATTTTCTCCACAACAAAGATACCTGGAAGACAAGTAACTACTTGTTTTGGAGCGGCAGAACCAGAACCTTGAATTAAATCTGGTTGAGAATATGTGCTGAAAGATTAGGGTGATGGCAAGGATGCCTTCCAACTTTACAGACTTGTATCAAACAAAGATGCACATAAAAAATATAAGTGAAAAAATGAACAAACTGGTCTGGTTACAAAAATGACAACAAAGATTTTTTTTTCATTGCTAATCAAAAATGATACATGTCATCTTTTAGATGCTATTTCTTTTTTTTCTTTTTTTTAAAGTGCCAGTAAATAAAAATAATACCGCTGTGATTACAATGAACACTCACAATGAGTGTTGACTTTTTCAAATTTCCTTCTTAGGAAGGAAATTATATTATTTCCTGTAATGTAAATAATTCATTATTTACATTACAGTGCCCAGATCTCAAAAGGCAGATAGTATTCCTAAGAAGGAATATTATTTCCTTGCTACTCAAAATAATATTATTTCCTTCCTAAGAATATAAAAGAGCAACTGTTTTAACTTATAGCCTGGCCATTTATGCCCTACACAATTCTGTTTGATTCTAATTTCCTCTCACTGCTCTGTCTGGGCTTTCTCCCATTGCACTGGATTTCTCTGGCAGAATTTCTAGAGAACAGAAGGAGAAGTTATCAACGACATTATCGGTTTTCTGCGCTGTTTTAGAATTGTAGTCTGCCTGTAGTTTGACAATGGCGAGAGATGAAGTGAAGGAAGCCCTTAAGTCCATGTTAGCCACTCTTCTAAATATTGAATTAACATTAACAGCCATCTTATTCGACTCGGTATGTCTCAATTCACAGCAGAGGATGGCTGTTTTCGGTAAGCTTCATAGCGTCGAACTGGTGCATTACATACATCACGTTAGCAATTGGGTAAAATTTAAGACAGAAACAGGCATGGACAACAGAATCCATGCCTCCAGCTAGGATTCGTTTCTCAGTCACTGAGGATCCAGACTCTCTGTATGAGGCAAAACGTAGAACAAGAGGCTGGTTTTTACCTGGATAGTATTAACTACTTTCTCTATATATTTTTCAGCGTAACTCCATTTCCGTTGCATTTCAAGACTTTGCGCCGGGTGCCGGTCCTCCACGTTCTTTCACAGATGTGACTGCCTGTGTGACTGAGCTGAAAGCTAAAGCAGACATTTTGCTGAACGAGACATGGCCCAAGATCTCAGCTACGGGTAAGTAGAGTTTCTGTGTGTATAAGATTTACTTTCTTTCAGTGGTTCTTAAAAATGACTGCTGTGTCTTCTCACAGTCTCTTACGTTGACTTCTCCTTACCGCCTGCACCCAACAGCAGAGAGGAGTTTTTACGTTGTAAGAAATCAAACTACAGATATCTTTCTTTAATGGTCACAAATATTGTCAGAATTATTACAGTGGTGACTCTGTTTCTGCTTTGCTTGGCAGATTGGCGTCCCCTTACATTGGATGACACGTCAAACTACCCTAACCTGAACCTGGTGGACAGCTGTAAAATGAGGCCTTCACCCATCCCCTATCCTCCTCATCCGAACAGATTCACAAAGTTCCCACAGGTTCTCTGCAAAGAGGCTTTAACAGAGCGGAGTTACTGGGAGGTGGAGTGGCACGCTCGCACCCTCTCTGTGGCTGTAGCTTACGCAGACGCCAACCGAACATCGGACGAGTCAGAGTTTGGGAGAAACGACAAGTCCTGGACTCTAGAATGCTCAGGAGACACCCTGAAGTTTCGACACAATGATGTTGATATGAAAGTACCAGGCTCTTGCTCCAAAAAGATTGGCGTGTTCCTGGATTACCAAGCAGGAATTCTGAGTTTTTATCAGGTTTCTGACCAGATGCTGCAAATCTTTGAAGTCCAGACCGTGTTCACTGAGCCTCTTCATCCTGGTATTGGTTTGAACTATGAGTGGTACGATACTGGAGTATTTGCACAGCTGGCCATATTGAAATAGTACAAGGACATGAAATGGTACAGAAATAGAACCACCGCAGTAATAATTATGACAATGTTTGTGAGTAGCGGTTTGCAGGTGTGGCAAAACTAATTCAGTGTAACAGAATTTCTGTCAAGAACTTGGAAAGTTTCCAAAGATTAAGGTGAAAGGGAAAGAGTAATTAAACTCTGTGGTGGAGGGAAAATATGAGGAAGTATTTTCACTTGGTTTGATGTGTTTTGAATTCGCCAACATGTCCTCAATTTGTTGTTTTTTTTTCTCGCAAAATCCATCTTCATCAGTTTCTCACAAGAGAAGAATCAGCAACTCCCTGTGTACTTGTGAAACCTTTTTTGTTTTGCATCGGTCAAAGGTGGAACCAACTCACACACCATCAGAGAAATGCACAGAGCAGATTTTCTGGCGTTGGATTTTCTACTTTTGTAGTTTTGAACAGAAATGGACAAAGTCAAGTTTCTCAGGCTGTTTGATATGTACAATTTGATCTTGGGGAAATAAACATCTTTTTAACAAATTTGTAAGTTGTTATGTAATCATAATTTGTAAAAATGCATTTTAGTGTTGGTTGCGATCAGAAACTTTTCACCTAATAAACAACATTTTCTGTATGAGGTGAAAGTGACAGAGTAAGACAAGATAGAAGCAAACATTGGTTGTTCACATCAACCCAGTTTTACATATTGATACAATATTAAAAATGACTAAAATAAGCCGATACTGATATTAATACTTGCATATTGTGCAATCCTAGAAATTATTGCTATTATCATTACATCTGTCCAGTGACTATTATAATTTCCAGAGACTTTAAAGTAACTTGTCTGCTTACTGATGATTGAAAGCTTGATAAAAATTAAAGTTGGGGTATGTAGGATTCATAAAAAGAGATGTATTTGCATATTTATTAAAATTGTCACTGTGTCATGGTAGCAGGATGGTATGAGAAAGATAATATGTGAAAAAATCTGAGCTCCTCTGCCTTCTCCCAGTGATAGCTAGAGAAATACATAGCTCAGTCAGAAACAACCAATAAGAGCCAGGAGGAGGATCTTAGCCCTCTCAATCATGCTTGTATAGGTGCTGCTCACACCCTCTCACTTGCTTTCTTTTACATGCAGCTTCTCTCCATCAACAGTCTGAAATGAATGCTATGGCTAGTTAGCGTAGCTACTCATGACGGCAGATAAGAAGTTTTCCTGAAACGGTAAGTTGTTTCTCTGCCAGCACTGAGACCCGCCTCCTGGCTCTGATTGGTTTTGATTGGAGCAATTCTGCAGAAGGCAATAGTAACATTGAGGAGGTGAAGGAGCTTGATCTTTTCACAGATTATCTGTCTCATACTGAACAAATATGTGAAATAAGCATTTTATTAATTTTTTAATAATTATTAAAGTTACAGTTACCCTAGTTTAAGTACACAGAGCATGATAGAAGTGTTTTGGTGCTGGGGCAAGAGTCCTCTTTTTTTGGAAATCAAAATATGGTCACCCTGATGCTGTCACATCTAAACCTTAGATGTAAGAACCGGTGGAACCGTGAGAGTATCAGGTTTCATGCTGACTTAACATTGATCCTGGCAGAGGTAGCTAGATGTCCTTTTTAAATTGTCTCCTTGGGAGCTTTTTTTTTTTTTTTTTTTTTTTTAAATCATTTTAATCCTTTCTTTTGATTTTTAAAGGTTTCTTTAGAGGGGGTCATGCACGAGGGACCAGTTTTACTTATGCAGCTGGAAAGCTGAGCAATCTCATTTTATTATTATTATTAATTTTTTAGTTAAAGTGCTGGGCTAACCTGGTTATTATTTGGTGTAGAATGGATAACTTTGGTTTGTTCCTGAGAGTACTGTTTTGTTTCAGTTGTTTTGATTATTATTTATGACTTAGTTTATTGTTTTCTTATTCTAGTGCAAATTATTTCAAGGGAATGCATGAATAAGAAAAAGTATAAGGAAAAAAAGCTAAAACGGGGCTATGCTAATGCTGGGAGGGGGGAAATGAATAGTAAGATAATTGTTCTTGTCTTTTTATGATGTATGATGTAACGCAGTTGCTAAAATGTTACAAATGAACTTGACAAAAAAAAAAAAAGGAACCGAAAGCTGCACAATTGACAGGAGGAATTCCAGGTTACTGTTAAATCACGGCTTCGAACAGGTAACTGGAGAAATATGTTCACATACTTGTATAAACATTATCAGACTGTCAAGGCAGACAGAAGCAGCCCAGGTTACTATGGACACACCCATCCTCTGTTAAAACGTGTCGAAGCAAGAAGAGCAAACCTATGGCGTGAGACACGGGGAGAAAAGAAGGGAGAGGACGTAGGTGGGTTGGAAAGCGTGGGCAAAGGGAAAGGTATAAAGGAGAGGTGTCCCACCTGAAAGGGAACCAGTCGTGCTTCACCTGTACTCATGGCGCCCTCTCTCTCGGTGAGTTTACGTCTGTTTTTCTGAGTTTTCACGTGCGATAAGAATCTCAGATGTGCTCAGGTTGCTCGAGCGCACATGAACTCTGTTATACTACGAACTATGAGTGCTGTAATATTTTTAAAAGAAATGTCAAAGTAAATTTTTTTTTTTTGATTGAGCAACAATTTGGTATTTTATGCTTTCTGAAGAACATTAAAAAAAGAAAAAAGAAATCCAAACAAATCCCGTCCAGCTAAATCTATGTTCTGCACGTGAGATGTAGTTTCGGGTACGTGTAGTTTTTTTTCCTCCATTGGTGCAGCAGCTGTCATTCTGAAGGCATGTCTTTGTGTCACATTGTACACAAACACACCTTCTGAGTCATTCGGGTCGCAATCTTTGGTCGGATTTGTTTGTACAACTGATGGAGGGGAAAAGACAAGGAGCAGCAAGTGTGCTATAGGGTTGACAGGAATAGAAGCGGGACGGATAACACAGAGCCAGGACTCACTCAACAGACTTTCTGTTGTCACTCGTCACGTGAAACTTTACTTTAACTCCGAGGAATCCTATTTGAACGTGTGCATGCTGCAGGGACTTATGTTAAAAGTTGAAAATTTATTGCAATAAATCTCTCTCAGGTGCATTTGCATCTCTGAATGCACTTGAAATGCACTTGTCTGTCTTTAAAACAAACAACACAGTGATTTGCTCCCATGGATCATCTGTGATAATGGTGATTAATCAGAAAATCAACTAAGCCGGTTGAACGAGATCTTGGTTACAACTGGCAGAAAAAAAAACTGCTGGTAGAGCTTGAGTGATTGAAATGATAGAGAAAGTAAAAACTTGATGCAGGAACTTTTGCAGGTAGACAGAATTACTTTATCCTAAAGAAAGACTCCAATCCTAAAGAAAGTCTTCAATGCTGGCTAAAATACCCCAAAAAACCCCTGTGAGAGATTGCGTTTTATATATATATATGTATGTATATATATGCGTTTGAGTTACTTTTCTTCAGATAGTTTTGACTTGTCAATAATTGCAAATTCCAATCAGTGTTGGCCTAAAACCTTAAGTTTGAGTTTTAGAAGATTTAGCTTAGAAAAAAAGAAGTGAGACCAAGTAGCTGCACATCCAAATCACTATAATAATCACTGGATGAGTTGTTAAAAAAAAAAAGAAAAAAAAGAGAAAGTTCTGGAAATCTCTAATTAGTGGCCACAACTATGTTTAATTAAAAAATTATTAAAAATAAAAAAATCTGCATGCACACCTAAAGAGCGCGTTAAGTTCTGATTGATTTGAAGAACTTTGGCAAATATTGTCAAGTCAAGATGTGACATGTACCAGACTGAGTGCTGAGAATGAATCAAAGTTTTTTTCCCCCCGCCTTTTTAACATATTTGCTTGTTCTACAGTTGAATTTTACAAATATAAAGCGTTTTATTTTTCTAATCAGCTGCACGTTTTTTTTTCTTTTTTTTTTTTAGTTTTCTACCATATATTTCTTATGCTGCAAGTTCGTTGGGTTTTTTTTATTATTATATTTTTTGTTTTTAATTTACATTTTGTGCAAATCTGCACGATTCCAGCACTTTGCTGAACTTTCGCGCTGACGGACGATGAAGGATTATTCTATTCTGTTCTACATATTGTTTTTTTTTCCAGCACTTTGTCAAAAAGACTTCATACATTTGCATGACATCCCTAAATAATTAAGAATAAGAATGAAGTTGTTCTATTGCGAGAATAATATTATGACTTTGATCATTTGATCAACTCATGACTTAATTCTTGTAATTTTATTGTTTTTAAATTTTCTTAGCGTGGCCATAATACTCCGTCGTAGTTTGCTGCATGTCTCTGCCCTGAAGACTTTTCTTCAGCAAATTCCTAGTAAATCACTGCAGGTTGAGTTTTTTCAGACTGAGTTGACTTATGGCCAAATGTGAATGTTGATCTAAGTGTAACCATTTGTGCTTTGCACATGCATGTCGGATTGAGAAACAGCAGCTCCTGAGTCAACAAGTCGGCTGGAAACCTTGTTAATTGACATGAAATGTAAAATCTGAATAACAGAAGTGGAAACTAAAAGGCAGCCAGTGAGTCTGGTTACTCAAAAACAATAAATATGGAGATTATGGAACTAATTACGATGGAAAGAAGCTCTTAGGCTCTTAGGCTGCTCTAACAGGTTATTCCTGTTTTATATGAAGCAGTGTCTAACTTATCTAAAGCGGTCTCATTAAATAACTGTCTGTTTTAAGCCACAGGTTTTACCTGCTCATATGGCAGCTTTCTACTATAGGAGCTTCTATTTGCTTTTTATGCTTGAACATCAGATTTCAGTCACATGAGGAAAATGGATATTTGCTGAGGTATACAGCTTCCAAAAGTATTCACACCCTTTACACAATACAGCCACAAACATAAATATATTTCATTGGAATTTTAAGTGAAAGACCGACACAAAGTGGTAGACAAGTGTGAAGTGGAGAGAAAAATATGCAAGATTCAAAATGTTATTTACACAAAAAAGAACACTGAAAAGTGTGGTGTGCAAAAGTGTTCAAGCCCCTTCTCTCTAGTTGCCTTCAGAAGTTGCTTGACGACTGCTACAAATCCAGCTGCTCTGTGACGCCTCAGAGTTTGAGAGAATATTGGGAAGCAAATGGCATCATGGAGTCCAAGGAACAAACCAGACTGACCTGTCTGGTTTGTTCCTTGGACTCCATGATGCCATTTGGAGAAACATGTGGAGAAGTTTAAAGCAGGCTTAGGCTATAAAAAGATTTCCTGAGGTTTGAACAGAGCTCTGTTCAGACCATCGTCCAGAAACGGAAAGAGTGCAGCACAACTGTAAACCGACCAAGACGAGGCCGTCCAGCTAAACTTCCAGGCTGAACAAGGAGATCTCTGATCAGAGATGCAGTCAAGAGGCTCATGGTGACTCTGGACCAGATGCAGAGATCCACAGCTCAGGTGGAGGAATTTGTTCACGGGAAAACTATTAGTCATTCACAGCACAAATGTGGTTTTTATGGAAGAGTGGCTAGAAGAAAACCAAGATGGTCGGTGCTGATGGGAAGATGAATGGAGCCAAAGGGCAATCATGGAAGAAAACCAATTTGAGTCTGTTTAAAACACAACATAATCATGTGTAAGAATGGCCCAGTCAAAGTCCACACCTTAACCTAATTGAGAACCTGTGGCAAGATCTGGAAACTGCTGTTTACAAACACTTTTCATCTAATCTGACTGAGCCTGAGCTGCTTAGCAAAGAAGAATGAACAAAAATTTCAGTCACTAGACATGCAAACTAGACAAAAACTAAAAGAGTTGAAGCTGGAATTGAAGCAAAAGGTGGTTCAACAGAGTACTGACTCACGCAGGCTGAACACTTTTACACACCACTGTTTTCAGTTCCTTATTTGTAAAACATCTTTAGAATCATGTATAACTTTCTTTCCACTTCACAGTTGTATCAGGGCCTCTCACATACAATTCCAGTGAAACATATTCATGTTTGCGGTTTTAATGTGAGAAAATATGGAAAGTTCAAAAGGTATGAATACTTTTGCAAGCTACTGTAACTAATTTTATTGTTGCACTTTGTAAATAAGCTAATCATTTAGCTACTTTATTCTTATCAGAATGCATGCAGCAGTGTAGTGCCTTCTACACCTTAATCGCATGAAAGTAGGAAAATCAGCCTGAACAGTTCCACAGAACATGCATCATTAGAAGACCTCAAAATTATGCAGAGGTGCTCTTTTCCATTTTTGCAGGATGAGATATTGTCATGTTGTGCGGTGTTGCTTTTTTTTTTTCTCTTCAACATTGCTCAGTTGAAGCAGCGCTTCGGATTTTTAATGACGCAGAAAGTTTTGCCCCATCAGGTATGCAAATAAAAAACCTAGTTGTAAATCATCACTCCAGTCCCGAAAGCAGCTGTTGCTAAGCGGTGTACTCTGCTCATGTCTGGTCTCGTCGTTCAGGAATTAAGAGTCCCGGTTAAAACCCGTCACACTTGTGCCCCTCTAATACGCGTCAGCGCAAGCAGTTAATACCTGTGAATCTCACGCCCACACCAGGAAAAACATTGAGGTCCTGTTCTTCTATCAGGCAATCTTGAAAAGGTGTTTGTTTTAGAACGACACTATAGAATAAAAGAACCTTCCCACTCTTGCGGTGGCTAATTTGTGGTTCTTTTTTTATGGGAAAGGAATAAACGCAACAACCCTGAATACAAATTGCTCTCCAATGCTTCCTCTTTACCAGGGAACACAGATGCCCCCCAATAGCAGCAGCTGTATGATCAATGACAGCATTGTAAGTACTCCAGCTGCCACAGTGACGGGCACGCTCATCCTCTCCGCCGTGTTTCTGTTGGGATTCCCCGGAAACCTCTTCGTCATCTGGAGCATCCTGGCGCGGGCCCGAAAGCAATCCGTCACGACCCTTCTCATCCTCAACCTAGCCATTGCGGACGGCTCCCTGATGGCTCTGACCCCGTTCTTCATCGCCTACCTGGCTATGATGGACTGGAAAATGGGGACTGTGATGTGCAAGGTTCTGTTCTACCTCTGCTTGGCCAACATGTACGCCTCCATCCAGCTGATCATGCTGATGAGCATTTACAGGTTGGTGTCGGTGGTGTGGCCCCAGCGCATCAGCGTGATCACCGGCAAGAGGACGATCATGCGAGTGCTGGGGGTCATGTGGTTGCTCGTCATGGTCGCCTCGATTCCTGCGCTGATCTATCGAGATGCGAGGCTTAATAAAGAGAGGAATAGAACGGTTTGTGATTCATTCCACGACAAAGACCCAGATGTAAGTTTGGACAATCCCTTCTCTCTTGTTAGTTCTCTGAATACATATGAACTTTCTCTAATTTTTCCCTTCTTTTGCCCCCTGTATCTCAGGTGGTTCTGCAGTACATGCTGGAGATTGTGTTGGGCTTCGTGGTACCTTACGGAGTCATTTTAGTCAGTTACATTTGCATCCTGCGCCGGATTCGGCAGACCAGATTCCGCCGCCGGATCCGCAGCGAAAAGCTCATTCTGGCCATCGTGGTGACCTTCTGCCTGTTTTGGTTACCCTACCACATCATCAACATGGTGCAAGTACGCCACGTTTCTTCTGAGGATGATATGGGAGTTCATTTTTGAGTTGTTAGTCATCATGTCGTTTTTGTATTCCCCTCAGGTTGCATCGGCTTTGCTTCCAGAATGTTCACCAAAAAGATTGTTGTAAGTGATCCCCCGTCCGCAAACACACTCATCTTAGAATAAAAAGGAAAAAAACAACTCAAGCACTGAGCTATCTTCCTCCAAGGTTAAATTAACTCTTTTTGGTACCAATGAATGGACTGACGACAGAAACAGAAACTGATTGGCTTAAAGAGCAGCTCTCACTAACTGAAACTCCAGTCCTATGGTTCAGGGTATTGAGCCATTAAAAATATTCAGATTGTTTGACAAAAATACGGAGAGTAACAAGTGCCGTATAGAAGCCTGGCTGTCAGCTTTATAAAAATTCGTTCTTCTTTCCCAACTCTCACTCGTCTGTTTATGTCTTGTTTTACAAGGTTGGAGAAAATATGGAAGAAATTCCGCGCCGTTACCTCCACCATCGCCTTCATCAGCAGCTGTGCCAACCCGGTGCTCTACTTCTTCGCAGGAAAGTCTTACATCAGACGGGAGGGTCTGGCGTTCATGGCTCGCTTGTTTGAGGGCACGGGCTTGGACTCCACCAGGAAGAGCCAAATGAACAGCCAGAACAGCCGGGACAAGGACAAAGACGCGGAAGTCGTGCTGCAAGACAAAGACTCGTCCACAAACTCAAACTCTATCATCAAATCAGCAAAAACGGGAAAATAGAAGTGAACATCCTCTCTGTTGTGTAAATCTTTCTTCCGTCCAATCGTAAAAAAAAAAAAAAAGGTTTTACAAAGACTTGAGACTCGACACCACCAAGTAAGACTCAGCAGATCGCCGAAGAGGTACTCTTGGATACATTTGCAGACAAAAGCCTGTTAAAATGGTGATGCTACATGTATATAGAAATAATTGAAAACAGGCTTAACACCCATATGGAATATCAGACAAAATGAGGATCACAGCCAGGGATGCTTAGACTTCTCAGAGGTCTAGTTCAAGTCCTCTAACTTTGTACATTCTGAATAGTAGTTAAGTTTCCACATGCTTTTAAATGGATTACCTGCTATTAATTTGCTTGCTGATGTCTTTTCCCTGGGACACTGTCTTTTATTATCTTTGCATAATAGCATTTTTAAGGCGTCATTGAACTACATGTGAATTTTTACAGCACAACAAATAATTCCACTTTTGTATGAAACAAAAACTATTGTGTGCTTTATCATATCGAAACATTGAAAGAGAGTACTGGTTTCACTTTAGAGTCCTTCTCGCGTTTGCACTATATTGCTGTTCCAGTCATGATTTTGCATTTCTCTCTCCAGGACTAAAATGTCTAGTTTCACAATACATGCCACTAGATGTCACAGTTTTCCACCTGCTGAACCTTTCTTTCTTTCTTTCTTTTTTTTTTTTTTTTACAAATAATTGTTTTCTGGCAATTTGAGAGAGCACAAAAGAGCAATCAGTCTTGCATGGCAAAAACTAAAACACAAGACTAAATTGTCTTTTCGCCTACTACGTTCAAGAATGGTAAGTTATTTTTTTTCTTCATATACCACATCCAAAGTAGAGTTTTATAGAAGTTAAATGTGTTTTTTACTTTCAAAAGCTTGTCAGAAGACGTGATTTTGAATTTATGTCTGTATGGCACAGAGGTATACATCTCGTAAGTGGACAAAGCAACATTCTTACTATTATGCATCCTCATCATTTTTTTTCAATGACTTCTGCACTATTTTACAGAATATACTACTCACAAATAGATATGTTGAATTTTGTACAGTTTTTTTCCCCCGTCATCATCAAAACTAAACGACACACATAAAACACCAAACACAGAATGTATGAGTTGTCTGTAATAATGAGCAATGTATATCTCAAAATCCTCCAAATTTGAACGTCAGAAATCTATTTTCAACATCTCTGGCAAATTTTTACTGTAAATATCTAAGTAAAGCAAAAGCTACTTTTATTTCTAGTGAACCTTGAGAAATTTAGAGATATTTTGGGAGCAGATATATTGACCCCAAATAGATAAAAGATTAAATAACCATTCAGACTTTAACCTTTTGTGTCGGTCATATGGCTTCTGTTCTCCAAAAATGCTTAACACTAGACATTGAAAAATAAGACCACAGAAGTGATCTGTCATGGCTAATGTGGCGTTAGCAGCACTTCCTGTGAATCCACGTATTGGCCGTCTGGAGAAACTGTGATTTCTACCATGGATGCTCAGTCTATTTTGCCGTAACTTCATAACTCATTGTACCGGTTCCTCGTTCCTGCTAACAAACTGCAAAATCTTTTGGACGTCCATCAATTGCTTCCATTCAATAATCTGTTGTTTTATAACATCGTCACTTGCGTATAGAATGTCAGACAATATAAACTACATGTCTGAATGAAGAGTCGTTCTCTATAAAACGAGTAGTCCTTTTATTTTTCTAGGCATTGCAAACAAACGTGGCATTAATGAATATCTGTGAATTTAATTGATTTCTTTATCATTTTTTTCTAGAAAATGTCTTTCAAATTGTCACAGCTTTCACTGTTTTTTAGCTATGAACTACAGCTTTAGCCAAAGTGTGTTTGTTGTACATAAGATTGTACTTTGCTTTTGCACAATTTTGTGAACAAATTAAAATAGAAAAAAAAAATACATGCAATAAAAATGTGAAGCAGTCCCCTGTATTCATTTAAATGGAAACAAACAATCTGCAGCTTACAGTAATCGTATCTCAAACGGCTGTGCTAGTGGTTTATGGTTCTGTCTTGAATATTTACAGGCAGTACCACACAAGATCTGATTCTACTGCACTGAATACACCAACAGTTACGTGTCATTGTGAAACCGTGACAAAGTCATTCATGCTTACAGACATTGGCGTCATGACTTCTCATTTTGTCAATGCTCACTTTTTCATTGACATGAATGTACTTGCCTTTTAGGAATGATCAGCAAGTGTCGTGGTGTTTTCAGGTCATCAGCTACGGTAAAGAAATGAACAGTGGAAATCCTTATAGAGATGTGAGAAATGCATCAAAGTGACTGAAAAACTGTACCGAGTCATGGATTTCCGTCTTGAGAAATATTTCTCTGAAACTGATCTCGAGAACATGTTTTTTTATATTATTATTATTTGTGTAGCAATACACCTATATCCTTCATGTTCCAAAGTATTTCTGCAATGTAGTTGAGCCACAGCCAGAAACCTCCTTTGGCAATCTTTTTTATTTCCTTATTTCCTTGTGAGCTATCTAGCTAGATATCAAGATAGCTGGCTGTCCAGATAGCTGATATCAAGCTATCTTGAGATCTAACAAGTTTGCTAGCTAGATATCAAGATAGATAAGTACATTAGGCTCTGTGAGAAGTGGAAACAGAACACAAACAGTTTAACATGTTTGGTGTTGTTTATGTTTAAACCCTCACTTGTGTACACAAAAACCTTGAAGCGGTCCTCTTCACTGCCACGCTGGGACCCGTCTCCATATATGGCGGCCTGCAGCTTTGGAATGTGAGGATGTCGCACATTTCTCACTAGGTCAATCAAAACCCGAAACTTCTTCGCATAGATGTGTTAATAATGAGTAATGATGATGGTTTGACAATGGTAAGTTTTTTCTGGTGATATTTTAAAAACGTTTAGACTGCTGTCAGTTTTGAATTAAATGGTTATCTGGTTATATGTGAGGGTACAGTGAATGACAACCCTACGATTTTAACCACTTACCGCAAAACAGAACACAGCATGTTCACAGTAGCTCTGTTAACAAAACAAATATTAGTCATTTTATTTGATTGATTTTTATTTATTTTTTCCTATTGTGAATCAGTGCTGGCTTCAAATATTTAAACATTCTGTGTCGCATTATGCTTTTTTATTTATTTTCTGATTTGGGGGTAGCTAAAAAGACATGGAGGAAAGAAATCAAGAGGAACACACACATACATAGCAAATGGTCTGTGGCAGGAAGTTGACTGTCAAGGCCATGGCCAGCCTTGGTTCAAACCAGGTTTTCCGGTCGCTAAACCTCTTGGCCCAGTTTCACCTCACTTTCTGTAACCCCCCCAAGAGCCGTGATTCTGTTTGAGCTGACCTGAAGGCTTTTCTGCTGAATTTTACCTAGCAGTATGTAACCTACAACTCGTTAGATATTCTATAGACCAATTACTACTACAATTTAATTACTGGTGAACAATAACATAAGCTCGATGTTTTCCAATGACGTGTTGTAAAGTAAATGAGGTCACACACAGGTTTGCATGTGTCTGATAACGACAATCCTCGCCCATTTTGGAGGCGGCACTTTCGTCAATGCTAATGCAGCTAGAGCTAGGGTACCATAGGGCCAAAGCGACTGTAGTTTGGCGGTTTAGCGTTAATAACTATTTCATTTCTGTAAAAGACAAAAAGGAGAAAGAAAGCTAAACCAAAATTTATGACAAAGTAAAGGGGTGTAAAACATTGACAGAAATCCTCTTCACTCTCGGCCCAATTTGACAAGAAGTTGATTCTAGCAGGTGAGATATTGTCTATTGCCTTAAAAAAAAGCAGTTAAGACCAAAACAGTTTTACAATACACACAATATTTTTATTCAACACTTCTGTTTGCGCAAATTTAAAAGACTAATACCATTTAAGTTGAACCGAGACGATCTTTACTGAGTTAAATACTCTAATTATGTAGTAGGAAGAATTATTTTCTAGGAAGGAAAGCTGAGTTAAACATATGCATTTGACTTTCAAAGTTTTTATTTTTATTTTTATTTTTTAAACCAACTGAGAAGTTTCTGGCAGAAAAGTAGATCATATGATGCAAACCATGACACAATTGATGCCGATGCTTATGAAACTGAATACATCCTGTCCATCTGCTTGACACAGATGTGGAAAGAAGAAAGTGCCGTAAAAAAGGAAGAAAAAAAGGTGTGTTGCAACAGCAAAAAAAAACAAAAAAAACACAATGCTCCGTGATCCGAACTCGTGTACGAACAAGAGTCAGTCAGTTTACTGGAATATTCACCTCCCTCATTTATTTTCTTCCTCAAATGATGAAATCTCAAGCAGTTCATTCGCATTCTACCATAAACAAAGAACGCTAGTGGTTTTTAGGCATGTTGAAGCATCCTTTTACTTTTATAGAATGAAATTATGGGGGAAGGTAGCTTCAACCAGACTGGAATTTATTTATTTATTTATTTTTTATGATTGGACTTTTTGCCTCTTTGCGTCATACAGACACTGCTTCACAGAGACCTTCTTTTGCATGCCAACACTCTGGAGGAGGAGCAAGAACTACCTTGAAATCCAGTTAGGTTTTCTCTTGGCTTCCTGTGGTCAATGGGTTTCCCCTCACGTCACGTGACCAGCATTTCGCAATGGGCTTGGTTTGCTCATCACAGAAACGGCAGTCAGAGAGAGCAACAAAGTTCATACAAGTTGGAGAATACGAAGAAATACAGTGGAGTTATGGTGGCGAATTGAATCGAAGAGATCATTTTCAGGTGAGTTTCATACTATTGATACTTTGACCTTTCGATTGAAATTCAGACAATTATTTGGTTAATATTGCCTTGTTTCATCAATATGTATCTTCAGTCTTGAAGATTTGAGAAAGGGATTAAAAATGTTGGGCTGTACAAGTTTGTTATTGTTATTCATTCAACGTATAGAGTTTTTTAAATGAAAGCTTTACCATGTGCGTTATTTTATTTTATTTTATTTTATTTGTATTTAACTATCTGAACAACCTGTGATGTTTTGGTGGTGGGCTGGAATAATTTTATTGTTTCTTTTTTTATTTTTCTTAATTTCATTAATTTCAATGCCTTTAAAGCAAACTGATTGTACCTGAATAAATTAAAAAAGCGAATTGCTCCACCATTTCAACATTTACCGCACTACAAAACACAAACTCTTACCAAATAGTTTTAGTTTATTTTCTGGACCTTAAATAAGACAAAACTAACTTGCGAGTCATTTTTAAGCAAGACATAGGAGCTAAATATTGATAAAAAATGATCAATATGTTTGACTCCACTGGCAGATTATTTTCACTTTAAACAAAACACATTCCCCATGTTATAAGTGAAATTATCTGCCAGTGGAAGTGGCTTGTTTTTCTACTCAATATTACGACATTATTCACCTTTTAATAAGCTCCTATTTCTTGCTAAAAAGTTACTTGTAAGTTTTATTTCAAGATATTTGCACTAGAAACTAGACAAAAAAAAAAGATTCTGTGATTTTGCAATGAGGATAAACAGCATACCATGTTTCCTCCCCTTCCTCCCTTTCTGACAGGTTTGGCAGTTTCATGCTAGCTGAAGCCAAATTCACATTCTTCAGATGAATTTTTCTTTGGGATCCAGTATGAACACCACTACCGCCGTCCCCATCTCGTCTCCTCCCAAAAACATCTCGGCTCAAATTGGCACCGCCATCCTGACCCTGGCTTTCCTGCTGGGTTTCCCTGGTAACATGTTCGTCGTTTGGTCCGTGCTCTGCCGGGTGAAAAAGCGCTCGGTGACGTGCTTGTTGGTGCTGAACCTGGCCTTGGCCGACGGCTTCGTGCTGCTCAGCGCCCCGCTGTTCATTCGGTTCCTGACGGCAGGACGGGGCTGGGAGTTTGGCTCGCCGGCGTGCAAGCTGGTGCATTATCTGTCGAGCGTGAACATGTACGTGTCCATCTACCTGATCAGTCTCATGAGCATGGACCGCTGGCTGGCCGTCACGAGGCCCTTCGTGTCTCAGAGGATGAGGACCAAGCGCTCCCTGCTGGTCCTCCTGTTTGGGGTCTGGGTGTTGGCTTTCCTCCTGTCACTGCCAATGCCGTTCTACCGCAGGTAAGACCAACACAGACAAAGGTTTCAGTACAATGAGGTATTTCTGATTGTGACACAATGGAAAAACCCTTGGAGACTAAACTACTCTAGGGTATCTGAAGCTATGGTCTCTAGGGTTTAATCTCTAAACTAGGCTCTAAAGACTAATCTAGGACAACTCTGGAGACTAAATTACCCTAGAGACTAAACCCTGTTTTAGAAACACAGTTTCTAAAACTCTGTTTTAGAAACTCTTTTGGAGTTAGGGTTTCCAATGGTTGATAAAAAAAACCAATGGTTGCATTTTGACAAAAAACAATCAAGTCCATTGATTTATTTTTTATTATGCATGGTTTCTTTGAAGGGATATAGGAAAGTTTCTTTAGAATTTCCTTAATATTTAGGCCTTTTATTTCCTTTCATTGGGCAGGTTCATATACGCCATCATATGTGAATTTTAATTAAGACAATCCAGTGTATACATAGAACGTAATGGGACATAGTTCTTTGCTGTAACTCAATACAATTCACTAAGATTTGATGTACCATTAAAACTAAAATTATCACAGCCCTGGGAGATTTATGCTTAGTATTTTCAGTTTATTGTTTTCTTCTGACCAACGGTGTTAATATTTTTGTAGAGACAAAGCCAGAATCGTGATGTCAATCTGAAGAAAATGTTCAGGGAGCTAAACATTAGGATGATGTCAACCTTAAAGACTTGGGGTTTATCATCAAAGATTAATGGTCAAATGATACGATAAATTTTATACAGATTGAATCAAAAAAAAAATTACAACTTCAAATAACAGAAAAGGGAACAGTGACAATGACACTGGTATTCAAAATAGTAACTGATTGTCTGACATGACTCAAAATCATGCAATATTCCAATCAAAACAAAACAAAAACTATTGCATAATTTGCCCTACATTTGTCTTTCAATCAATCCATCATCGGTCTTCTGTTGTAGAGTTAAGATCTGATATGAATTAAATGTTTTCTATGAATGAAAACTATTTAGTTTCGTACAGTTATTTTATGACTCAAACAATTCTGTAGATTTCATTGCACTTTCACAAGCTTGGATGAACTTCTCAATTAGTTATATTTTATTGGCTAAAATGTAACATTTTTAATTTTCTCAACAAGTTGCATCACTGATTACCTTTGTTCACTTTCATTTATGGAATAAGTCAAGAACTCTCCAAAAATGGTTTCCACAACCTGCTTATTTTTCTTAGTTTCTGTTGACTTAAGTGGAAAGTTCTTGCTCAACTTGAGGCAAGTTCCCACATCAGGAACTTTTGCCAGGATAAAAAGTTCCTGGTAATGGCACCTGGTAATAGTAAAGCCCCCTGTGGTAGTCCCCAGGGGGCTTTGTTTAAGCCCAGTGCAGAAACAAAACTCCTCAGAAAGGGGCCTTGACATTTGAGATCCGAGTCTTTGGGGCGGAGCTTCCTGAATTTATAATTAGCATTTCTAATGAGTTGATTTTTGGCACCGTATTCCAACTTTATTCATTTACACTGTCTCACATTTCTGAGTATTTTTTTTTTTCTTTGAATCTTAAAGATGCCATGTTATTTTTGCTTCTAGCTTTTTGCATACGGGAAAGAAATGCAGTCATCCTCAATAAATTAGAACGTTGGTACCTCTTAAAAATAACTCTTTCAAGCAAGTAATGAACATAAGTCTCTTAGTCTACATTTCTGTATTACATTTGTTTTATTAGCCTGATGTATTGTAATGTTAGATGTGTTTTCATTAGATGTAATCAGCAAATTATCACAATTAATACAACTTCAGCCTGAGTGCCTAATCTATATGTATTTCACTTAATGAATTGAATTACTGAAATAAATGAACTTTCAAACCATATTCTAGTTAATTGAATATGACTCTAGATTCCCAAAGTGTTTATATTTCGAGGCACAAGAAAGTAACAAATAACAAATCTTAAGTCTTAAAGAGCTAAGGCAGGTTAATTTTTAGCAGCATGTTTTTGTTGCTTTATTAATCACCTGTCAATGATAGATATTTTTTTAAGCTTAGAAAAATTTGAATGCTTCATGAAATATTTTTTGAAAACTTATCAGACTTTGCATAGAGTTTTGACTTCACAAAAAAAAAAAAAAACCTGGAGTCTGCCCTTTGTGAAACAATCACCGATTATAGTTTTTATCAACAGTGGCACAAGAATATAATCAGCAACTGAATGTTGCGATCTTTTTATTTACTCAAGGTCTGTTACTTGTCTTGATTTTTTTCTAAAGTCTGGCTTTTTTGAAAAGTTTCTAAGGGTTTTTTCTGACATTGGCTCAACTTGCTGAATTTACCCATTTTCATCTGTTGCTTGTTTTATTGCACGCAAACTGACAGTGACTTTAAAACTACCATTAATGGCTTTGCTTGATGGCGCATGGATGCATTTTGTATTTGTTGTCTAATAATACTGAAAGTATTTAACAATTAATATTAACAATTAATTTCCACAAAGCCTCACTTTTATCATGTGGACAGTGAATTCATCTCTGCCTCATTCTCTCTTCTTGTGTCTTTCCTACAGTATTATAAAGATACCTAAAAACAACATCACCATAAACATTTGCATGCCGTACCACTGGGGGAGCGTGGGCCACCCGGTCTTCCAGTACCTGTTTGAGACCATCATGGGCTGCTTGGTTCCCTTCTCACTCATCAGCACCTGCTACTCGTCCGTCATATGCAGACTGCAAAGCGCCAAGTTCCAGCGCAGAACACAAGGCAGTCGTCTCATCCTGCTGATCATCGTCACCTTTGCCATTTTCTGGCTTCCCTATCACATCGTCAACATCACTGAGGTGATTCTGCTAATGCTATTAGTAGTAGTAGTATCTGAAAACTTTGTATAAGGTTTATTTCTGTTTCATTTTGGCTTTGAATGCTGTATACATCCAAAACAAAAGAAATTTGATGCTGCGTCATAGCCCTCTCGGACACATTGGAACTGACCTCTGTCTCTGAACCCTCCAGCCCTTTCCACCACTCCCCCCTCAGGTTGTCATCACAACAATGCTCCTCCATGCCGTCCGTTGATGCCATTTACGACCATTCTTAGGAGCGTTGCAGTTTGTCTGATTATAGCAGCTGTGCAGCTCCACCAGGTGTTTGCATATTCGCCTCCAGAAATTTGGAGCCGCTAGTCTGGAGGAGCTGGGTGGGGCATGATTAAGGGAGGGGTGGTCTGTGGGAGGAGAGCTCAACTGGGAAGTGAAACTCCTAGAGTCAAAGATAAGGTATTGACATTATAATGTAACATTAAGCTCAAAAAAGTTCCAACATGCTCCAGCCGGAACTGAACAGACTGTTAAGGGCCATTTGTTTTCACACACACCTTCCACACAACGGCGCAGACCATCTGGGGAACAGCCCTCCAGCTTCAGTGTACATCACGTCCTAGTCATCGCGGATTCCTCACCACAATACAGGATTTCCATCCTGTAGTTTTATTAACATAGTAGGAGTTTAGTGAAGAACTGTACAAATTTACGTAATTTCTCACCCTGTCAGATAAACGTTCCTCAGAGGTATTCATGTCCTTTGTGGATACAAAATCCGGAGAGTGGAAGAGGACTACGTTAAAGAGAAATATCAACATTGCTGTCTGAGCACATCATATAACAACTTCTGACCAATCACACAGCACTTGGCGCAGAGCTCTATTGAGTGGAGGACGGCTCTCATCAAACACAATGACGCAATTTCCGTCTTGTGTCTATGTCAGTGACAGACGATTTCGGTACTTCGTTTTAAGTATGTGGGAGCCTTAACTATGCTTGGAATTGCTATGTAGGTAATTTCCTTTCACTGCCATCTGCTGATTGCCATTACAGAACCGTTAACTGGAATTCTTTATGAACGATTTCCTAAATATGCAAGAAACACTTTCCGAAGTACTTTAGCTGAGGATGAAGACCCAAACTTCTTCATAGAAACCCACTTTTAAAAAAATCCACATCCTCCTGTTGTCATGGATTATTTGAGAAATGTCTCTCTTCTCACTTCCTCAGGTGGCTTGTTTACTGAAGAACTATAAGTCGGGGAAAGGCTGCAGTCCCGCCGCTCGGCCCACCGTCACAGCCTTCGCCTACTTCAGCAGCGCGGTGAACCCCATCCTCTACGTGTTCGCCGGGAGCTCCCACATCCGCCAGGCCGGGCTCAGCTTCATGGGCCGGCTCTTCGAGGCCACCAACTCGGAGAGCAGGACCACGTCCACCATCGCCCGCAGCGGCCGCAGCGGCTCTTCGCCGGACGAGAGCGCCGTCCTGTACACGCTGTCGACCAAAATCGGGAAGCCTTTCAAAGGAAAGGGCAAGGAGCGAAGCAGCAGCGTGGCGGGCAAGGAAGCTAACGAGCCAGAGCTCAAAACTCTCGCCACGGTTGAACAGATAGAGTAGCACTCGAGCCGTTTTATATGTACTGCAAAGAGGAAAGTAGCTTTAAAAAAAAAATGTAAGCCTTCTGTTTTTGAGTTTCATTGTTTGTCGTTAAAACTGGGAAATATTACTGTGCCTGAACCAGCGTAAGTTATAATCTATTTAAATCTTGTTATAAACATTAATGCTGTAGTGAAGTTTTTTATGCATTAGCAACAGGATTTCATGTGAAATAGATTTAAGAGAGCAGAAGATTCAAACTTTGTATGTATATATTTTTATCAGAACTGTGTACATAAGACTGAATTTACTTTTATTATTTAAGAAGATAAACAGTTTTGATATTAAACTATCATCCCAACACCTTATTGTATGTATTTATTATTGTAATTTGAACATCATAACTTTTCTGTTGTATATTCTTCCAATACTTGAGTTGATCTTGCATATTTTATAAAGGGGAAAAAAAGGGAAAGCTACATGCTTTATTGATTTTAAATGCATTTAAATAGTAATAATACTAATAAATATGTGTCAAGTTTTTTTTTTTGGATGACTTTCTGGATTTTTTACACCTTACAATGTATTTACGTATCTATATTTGTAAGAGTCCGATTGATACACGATGTTCATACTGACGGATGTTCTGCAACACAAACAGAACATTGCACAAGAAACGTTTCGCCAATCATCCTTCCTGTAATCGTTTTGATGCATCGCTCTTCCCTCCATTTCTCAACACAAGTGAAATGTTCTTTTTGCTTACACCTTGTGGTTAAACTCGTTAAGGTTCAGAGCTGCTGTCAGACTGTGGTGGACTTGTTGACATAGATATAAAACTGGAGCAACTTCACAGGAAACATGAGTCACATTCATGAAGCGGTCTCAAAAACACGACTCATTTCAAGTGTTGATTAGTTGTTAAAGGTTAGATATACATCTGACACACAAAAATGAAGAAAAAAAAATGATTTATGGTATCTCATCTCATCAGTCATGCTTGTTGATGACAAAGAAAGTAGGAATATTTTTGCTTCCGGGGGTTACCAGTTCAGACGTGCACCTCGTCAGCTGACGATTGGAAACCTTTCCAAAGAAACCTACATTCATGACTTATCAGCTTTTTTTTTTTATTAGAAGGCTGCCTTTAGTTTAATTTGTCAAAAATATCTCTATTTTCAATTTATTTCTGATTATGCTTTGAAGATTTTAAAATCATGTATTCTTTGTCTGTTAGAATGTTAAGATCCCGAGTTGTTTTGATGTTTGTTTATTCTGTATTCCTTAGTTTCCTTTTTATTAGACAAATCTTTTTTCTGTTTTATTTTAGTCCAATTCTTCCTTAGTGATTAGTTTACTATGCTTATTTTTATGTTTAGCTATACTTTGTTCTTCTTCTTAGGTCTAGTTATTCTTTAGTTTTAGATTGATTTCTTAGTCCCTTGAATCTGTCTCTCTCCCCTCAAACCTGCAACTCATTTCTAATCATCCGTCTGTTCATTGTTCAGTTACTCATTCTCAGTTCCTCCTTGCTGGATCCTCCTGTCTAGTACTGTTATATCACATTAAACCTTGTCATCTACCTGCTGATTTCCTGTTTTGCTCCTGGATGCCTGTTTTTGTTCTGCTCTGGCTCCCTGTGCTCCCTACAGGTTTTTTTTAATAGGTTTTTTTCATCGTTTTTGATCATTAAACATTATTCGTCTTCAAGCTGCCTGCATTTTCTGCATTTTGATCCTCCATCACAACATATATCATGACAGAGTATTTTGTGTAGGCTCTGTTATATAGAATCCTAATAAAATACATTAAAGTTTGTCGTTTGCTGTTGGGCTCTGGTGACTCAGGTCTTAGGAGTTCATAGGAGTTCAACCGGTGGGCTGCAGGTCGGAACCTGCAGCCCACCGGTTGAACCGGTTGCCCACGGACAGTCGCCATGTCCTTGGGCGAGACACTTCAGCCATTTTTCTGATTGTATGGCAGCCTTGCTTCTGTTAGTCTCCCTCAGGGCAGGTGTGGCTTCAGTTTCCCACCATCAGCAATGACTGCACGTTGCGTAAAGCGCTTTGGAGTCACCGTACAAGTAGACGCCATCTGCTATTTTTACCATCTGTGGTATTCAACACATCAAAAGTTTGTGCTGTGGTTGAAGAGATGCGAGCAGGAGATAATACTAAACAGCTGTTAGCCACCTCTAATTCGAAAATAAACTAAATCCGCCAAAACCAGGGAGTGTGTAAAGAGCGCTAAGTGGGGACAGAGTTTTGAAAGGTTGTCATGGACACACTAGCTTGAACAGTTAATGACCTGGCATGGTTTGATGGCATCATCTGGTTTTAGCTGCAGGGTAAAATGTCACACAAGCTACAGACACAACAGATGAGATGATTGTGATACTGGCAGTATTCCTCCATTCCTTACCCTATATTGCATCATGTGCTGTTATCAGTAGAAAATCATGACATTCTGTTTTTGATTCTCTGTCTACAAAGTCTGCAAGACCAGATATTTCCTGCAGCTGTATGACTCACCAAAAAAGAAGACAAATTTGTCAATTAATTGAATATCTTCCGTGGCCTGATGAGTGAATCTCTTTCTTTCTTATTAGTTGGATTAGTTTTGGGTGTATCTGTTCCTCTATTTAAACATGTTCTTATCATAAGTAATAATAAAAGTCATACATATGATGCACTTCTTCTATGTAAATATGTCTCTAAATACTAGTTTATTAGTAGAGAATTATAATTTTATTATTGCACAACCGTGAGCTTTTCATAGCTTTAAGCCAAGTCAGAAATTTGGCTCACTAGTTTCCTCTCAGTTTTTTATTGCATAAACTTGCACACCGATTCATCTAATACCAAATTAATTCATTTATTCAGAAAGAGCCAGTATATTAATACTTCATAATGTGCATTGTATTATAAAATAATTAATCACAGACAAACTCATAGCAGCCACTTCATGTTTTAGTGATTACCTTCTGATCTGTTGAGTCAGAGGTAATCTGATGAATCCTCGGTGGAGCCATTAGAAGCTCATAGTGAACAACAGGAATCTTTCATGTCATGCTATAGTTTATATAATAAATAATGACATGTTTTATGCCATTTATGCATAAAAAAAGAAACAAAACTATTGCTTCTATAAGATGTAAGAGGGACAGTTGCATCCAGCAATGGTCTGACAAAGTTTTAAGCAAACAAAAACATATCTCTCTCTATATATATAAATGTGCCATTTTCAAATAAAAAGTGTTGAAAGTTAATGGTGGAACCGTTAGGAAGACTGAACTTTTTTTTGTTTTGTTTTGTTTTGGACGGTTGGTGTGGTAAAGACTGAGCCAAAAAACAAAACAAAACAAAAAGACAGCATGACCTAGTTTCTGAATTTACATCCAATACCAAATACAAAGGCTTTCCACTCATTTCAGATTTTCGTTTGTAAACCGTTTAAAGAAATGTATCCATTTCCCTTATACTTCACAATAGATATAAGGGAAAGTCATGAAAGTCAGCAGTTAACACTGTTGCAAGATCATGTAGTTCCTTGTTCTCTTTTGAGTTATTACCAAATAAACTGAACTGAAATCACCTCACTTCAAATTTCATATACATTGCATGTTTCTTAATGTTTCCCGTTAGTCAATTTTAACAATTTTTTTTTTTTTTTTTTTTTTTGTGACCAGTATAAAAATGCTTACAAGTTTGTTTGTAGTATTTGGACTTCTGTAAACAATACCTGATCAAAAATAATTTCTAAGTTAAAGTAGTATGGCTCCAAGTACAGCCATGTCAGTAAGTACACTTTGGTCAATAGTTATATATTTACCAAACTTATTCAAATCTGAGCGCATCCACAAAGCCTCAGGGCTCCGATTCAAACGTGTTGTTAGAAAAGACGAAACGCATGAAAATATAGGAAATCCACAGATTTTGCTGGTGATGTCAAGAGAATTTAGAAAGGTAGTTTTTGAGTGACGTACTTTTTATATTCGCACGTGTCACTTTTCAATTTAACAATTGAGGAAATTACTTTTTGACCCTTAAATGTCAAAATAAATAAATAAATAAATGAAAAATTCTGACCAAAATGCTGATCAGTTTCTGTCTGACATACGTTTTGAAAATAAAGAAAAAGAAAAAAAAAGGAATAAGAAGTGAGTGGCCGGCATTTACATTATGTGAAGAATGAAAATGCTTTTTGTTTAAAGATCAACTTATTGTTTTCAAGCCAGTAGATGTCTATTACTCACAACAGGATGCTGCTTAAGACCGTGCACAGTTCAATAAGTGGGTCATAGCACACATGCAAAACAGTACAAACAAAAAAGAAAATCCTAGTGGTTTATCTGATCTCATTTAGCAACATTCACAGGGAGTGGTTGAACTTTTAGAAAGTTTACTACACTAAAGTGATGATGTCCTTAGAATTTCCTTAGAGTTTGACACTCAGGTATTTTTTTTGTAATAAGCTCTTATTTCAAATAAAACTTTTTTTTTTTCGCCGCCATCATATTGCATGCAAAATCCAGCATAATCCTAATATTCCAGGACTGTTCATAGCTTAAACTTTTAACAATTTATAAAATAGAAAACACTTGAAATTCTTGAAACTTTGCAATAGTTTTGATACCGTTTCAGAAATTTCTATTTGAGTAAAATGTAATAATTTCATTTAAAAAAAAAAAAAACCACTTGGTTCTGAAAATAAGCGTCTGCATGCATATGCAGGTGTGGCTCAATGAATGAGAAAATGTTTTTTTTTTTTTTCACTTCAGAAATTCAATTCAATAATTTTAGTCATTAAATTTCGGAATTGAATTAATATTCCAAAGATATGATTCTCTTAGTTTACACGATTCTGGCCTACAATCAGTGAGAACATAGTTTAGGTAGTTAGATATTTGGAATGTAGTATAAGATCATCTAAGGCTCCAGCAGACATTTAAAGCAACTTTTTTCCCTTACTGTCATCACTATTGACTGTTATTTTGCTCAAGTGGCCTGAAAAATATTTTCCATTCATGATCGTGGTTGTCATAATACAACCCACTTGTTTTTCTAAAGGGACAGCACCAACGGCATCTCAATTAGGGCGTCTCACAAATTTGTGACAAAGAACAAACCTTAGATGTACCAAATTATGCCAACAAGGCATAATATTATGACCACTTCATTGAGAAGTGAAATGAATAATACTTTTAATCTGTTCATTTTAAAATTATATAGTAAATTGGTCACCAATTGAACATTTCTGTCTTCAAAGCTGATGTACTATAACAAGAAAAGGGTTTTAAGAACAGTCAAATTTCGATGCTGATTGACGTAGCATCTCCAAAGCTTAGGGTCTCGTAACACCTGTTAGCCGATAGACTCGGTTCGATTGGGAACCAAAATTCCAACCTTTGTTACATTTTCAGGTGGTGTGTTTCACTTTATCAGACAATTCAGAACCTTTGTAAAAGCTGTTCACCCCCTCGCCTGTGGCGGCGCTATACAAATAACTACCGAAGGAAATGACAGGAAAACCTCTGAAGAAAACACTCAGCTCAATGTCCATCCTCACAAGATGCAACGAAAATGGCGTAGTGGCCGATTTTAGTTGGTGTAGGACTTCTCTTTTGTGGTTGATAAAAGACCACGAGACATTTCTCCCGCCAGCCGTACACCCTTGCGTTTGCTTTGGTTTTATTTACCCAGAATGCCATGTGCTGTAGTTTGCTTCCTGCTTTAGGAGCGGTCTCTGGTTAGCTTGACAGTCACAAATGCATTCGAACCCTGCCAGAGTTCACTTCCATCGAACTGAGACCGAGGTTTCTTGTTTTTGCATTCACATTTCCTCAAACAAACTGGACTTTCTAGACAAACAACCCAGAGTTCAATTAAAGTGGACTCAACAGGGCTGGTGTGAATGCAGCCTTAAGCTCTCTTGTTGCGTTTAGGCGGTCTATGAAAATAACAGTGATGGATGTTTAAGCCTCAGAGATGCATGTGGGGGTTAAAGACTGGCCTGTAGTTTAACAGATCAGCTATTTTAGCTCAACTTGCTGTAAAAACATAGGGGCACCAGTCATGTTGGAAAACCACTATAGGAAAAGTGGTCTGGCCCAGTTCTGGCCCACAAAGTACACTTGCACTCGGCAGACATACCGCGAAGAAAACAGTTCTTTGGTGGCCTAGATCTGCTTTGCCGCTGGTGGCCCTGTGCCGGCCCAGAGCAGTTTGAGCACAGGAGCCAGATGTCAGCCAGGTGTGCACCTAAATGAAGCCATTTAATACATTTTTAACAGTTCTTTAACACTTATATAGTTGTACAAATGTTTATTTGTAACCGAATAGTCAGATATAACAGCGAAAATGAAGATGGTGCTATTTAGTGAAATGACGTTCACGAGCAATCTAATTCTTTTGAGCAGCTGCTTACGCTAAACGATAGGACTCGGTTAGCTCTACACACACTGCAGTAGCTTTTCTTATTCAATTTAAGTTAAAAATGTATTTATTCAATCAGTGAATTAATGAAATAGACAAAAGAAAATAGAAAAAAGGGCTTGATCTATGAGCACACAGAGTACGCTCGAGCGGCTA